GATAGGACAGAAAGTGACTTCTATACTTTTAAAATTTATGCAAAACTTAGGAGGTCTTTAGACCGAGCCAACTATATATGATTTTATTTTATTTTTTTGGAAAAAGAAGATAGTTGTTGAGACATTTTAATTTCATAGAATTTAGAGATTTATTAATTTAAAGAAATCAAAGAAAATGTTGATTATGTAGAATTATTAGAAGATATTTATTTATTATCAATTTAGAAATATGGAAAATTTGATTAATATTATTATTTAATGATGTGTGTTTAATTATTCATGTAAAATCATTATTTAGAAATATGGTAAGTTTGATATTATTATTTAATAATGTGTGTTTAATTATTCGTGTAAAATTATTATTTAGAAATATGGAAAATTATTTAGCATAGTAATGTGGTTTTTTTTTATAAAATCTATATCACGTAATCCATTGTAACGCGATTAGTACTTATTATTATTACTAAAATCCTACTACTACTAAAAAACCGTTGTCCGTTGAAACGCGATTTAAATATAAAATCCGTTGAAACGAGAATTTTTTAATTAATATTAATAAAATCAAGGGGCAAAACCAAAAATCCGTTGAAACAAAAATCCGTTGAAACGAGGTCCGTTGAAACGAGGGTTCGACTGTAGATGTAACATTTAATAATAGAAATAAAAGAATATACATTTTAAACTCAGAATTAGTGTTTTAAACTCCGACATTCAATAAATAGTAATATTGCAAGGTATCATTTCAGTTAATACTGATTATTTAACAAGTCTGGCTGATTATGCAGGCAACTTGCAATAATTTGGTGCTTGTCAATTAATTGGTCTACGAATTCCCTCTTTCTTGCACCTAGATGAATCTGTGAGCATACTTAATGGTACCAGATAACTGCAGACAAATAAAGATGACCTTTTAGAAGCTCAAGGACTTCGATTTATTTCAGTCTTTCATTTATTGATCGATTGCAAACTCACTTTGGTTTACTTGTAAAGTAACTTAAGTAGCTTGTTTAACAGCCTTACGTTTACGATTACAATAACACTACCAGTATTTCGATTAACCTTTGGACAATACTTCATTAACACCCACTGTTACCTTAACCTTTGCTTGTGTAAAAAATTACTCCAAAGTCATGTGTAACATCAGGGTGGTACATAAATATTTACATTAGAAACGTGACACATTTATTATTATTATTTGTATTTCGTGTCTTTAATTATATTTATTATTATTATCTATGTCCACAAAATCTTCCGGATAGATTGATAAGAATCTTATGATTATTATTATTTATATTTTATTTATATTTTATCAATCTTATATTATTATTTATATTTTATCAATCTATGTAATTTTATATATAAAGGACATCATATTAAGATAATAAAGATTAACTTTGTAATTTTACAATAATTAAATTACTTATTTCGCTTTTAAACATTGAACGTTTACAGCAGTATACCAGGATGGATTTTAGGGTTATATCCTATATATATATATTTCTGGGAATAAATGCAGGGATATTAATATGCAATTCAACCCCCCCTTACAAAGAATGTATCGGATTTATTCGATCAGATATGGTGCTTTTGAGAACAAACGATATTAATATAATAACAAATATAAATATATGATTACATTACATATTATCTTCCGTTTTGTGATTAATTAATCCTTCAAAATAAAATAATATTTAATTTTCCAGATTGGGATAATTAATAAAAATTACTTAAATATTATCAACAATTATGAATAGGAGGGCATATTGAATTGACAACAAAATAAATAGGGATCTGGTGGATCATATTAATAGCAATCTCACTAATGAATAGTTTTGGTTATTGAATTTGTGATATATTTGATTTTCTCAAGTTATTATTTTCTTTATTCAATGTTATCTCGACAATTTGGAGCGTTTTATACATGTTAATTGGTTAAAGAATGCAATTAGCATACAATCTAAGCCAAAAACGTTCTACCTAAAAGAACGGCATATAAGAGTGATAGATATCATGATTGTTCACAAAAACAGAACACATAATTTGTTAATATATTTTTCGATCTAGTCATTATTATGATTATATTTTTATATCTAAATGTAACAATAAACTAGCAGCTGAGCATGTCCTTACGTCTGTGCTTAGCTCCTAGACATGATTTATAACAATTTGTTTCAAACAACATTTGTAGTACATTTATACATTTATTTTAATTTTTTGTTGTCAAGCAATTTTATAATCAATATGTTTCAAATGGATGGATGGTTTGCAATTTACTTATTTACTTAACTCATATACTCTATTTAATTATCGAAATAGAAGAATATAATATTCACTGAGAAGAAATACACAAAGCAGGCGATTCAATAATCACAAAATTAGGAATTGACACTCTAGGCTTGAATTGTAGTACATTTATAAACTTTCATTAATAATATTAACAATTTAAATAATTTCATAGTTAAATAGTTACAATAATATGTTTATGAGATAAATAAAAACTTCAAATGTTTTTTTCTCTACTTTATAGTACTAAAGCTTCTTCATATACAATATTGCGTGTATAAACCCCATCCTTGTCTTGTATTGATCCATTTCTGACAGAAACATAGAGATTATGCCTTTGGCGTACCCTTGACATAGCTACATACAGTTGACCATGAGAAAATACTGGTTGTGGAAGGTATAGACCAATATGAGGTAGTGTTTGACCCTGGGATTTATTTATGGTCAATGCAAATGCTGGACGCACAGGAAATTGTTTTCTTTGTAATACGAAAGGTAATCCAGTATCTTCAGATGATAGGAGAGGAATTCTAGATATGAATACATGCTTTTCTTGATGATCCCCTGTTATTATTTCAGCTTCAATTATTCTTGTCCAGAGTTTCCAGCAGATAAGCCTTGTCCCATTGCAAAGTCCATTAATAGGATCTAAATTTCTAAGTAACATGATAGAAGCACCAACTTTTAGAGTGAGTTCATGTGGAGGAAGGCCTTGAGGTGTTAGGGAATTAAGATATTCAACTGGGTATAGATTTAAGTTATCTTCTGGCACTGAGTCAAAGCTATAGTATGTATACTGTTTTCCAGGATATTTTGTCATAACTTGTTCATTAATTTCATCAACATTGGTGTTTAAAGGAGTCAATATTGCTCTTTCTGTTACAAAGGTAATGTTGGCAGCATTTTTAGTGAGATTAGGATATACAGTATCTATTAATGAGTCAATAGGATCTTTGCCATTTTCTGGGTGAACAATCAACTCATCAGGAAGTCAAATCAAGTTGTTTTCTATTATAGGTTCAGTACCATTACCTATTCTGAGCAAGTACTCTGCAAATGCCTTTGCCTCAAAGTTGGTAGTTTGAGCAACTCGCATGTTGGCTGTCAAAGTGAAAACATGAACATAATGCCACAGATATGACTTGTTGAGAGCAGCATTGACAATCTGGGCTCTTGTGCCTTTGCGAACTACAGGAAGAACTTGATGGAAGTCTCCCCCAAACAAAAATATTTTACCACCAAATGGAAGATCATTTTCCATAATGTCTCTTAATGTTCTGTCAACAGTTTCAGGAACATAGTGATGTGTCATTGGAGCTTCATCCCAAATAACCAGAATAGTTTCTTGAAGTAATTTAGTCAGATCAGCACCCTTTTTGATGTTACAGGTTGCATTTCATTTATTGGAATTGGTAACAGGAGAGACCGTCCTATATAAGGAATGGATTTTCACAATTGATTTCAATTTTTTTTGTACAGTTTAAAATACTTTTACAAGGGTATTACGTAGCCCATTCTTACAATAAATCATGTGCAAATAATTACACAAAT